TGCGCAGCTACCCCCCCCCCAATCATCGGTGAACGAAACTGTGGCAGCTACAACCAGTGTACGACCAGTACGCGGTTCTTACAGCTGACAATGATGATGATGAATAAAGGTCAGTCCTAAAAACCACACAGTCCGATCACTCGCGGTTGACAGTGACCGAAGACGCACTATCTGCTACAACCACAATATACTAAGCGCTCGGTGTAGCTCGAAAGACATTTACCAATGACCGCAGCCGTTGGTCCTAGCAAAACGACTTCAAGAAAAGAGGGCCAGCTGTTGCACTATGGCTCCGACTGTTGGATCAATTCAGTTCAGCTGAGTTCATTAGCTAAGAACCATGTACCGGGGGTACGTTGGTTCCGGCTGCCACAGTTTTGCTCACCGGAAAATGGGAGCGTAATAGATACAGCCAAACATTACAGGCGGTGGCATTTTCAGCTATTTCGGGCCCGTTGAGGTCGATAGCTTTGATGCACGAGCGCTACTGATTGTCTGGCAGTATCATTAACCATTTGTGAGTTGAGTCTCAGGGTCCGTATTCAGGGAAGTACCAGTTATCGACCCGCCTCAGTTTAATGGTTAGTGTTTTCATATTTCGTTGCCTGGTCACCTCTTGGTCACTTTCACTCAACACAAGGCTGGGCGAAAAAAAACCCTGAAAGGCATACGATCCTTTGGCATACGGAATACGTGTCCTAACCAGTGTAACCTATGGAGTGCGAGTAATTTATCTATTGTGGAAGAGTTCCTTCCTAAAACCGTCTAGCTTGCCTCAGGATTGCTAATCCGATGTCCTCACCAGACCCGACCGACGCTTCTGGGACGCCGATGGTCACACACTGACGAAAGGATCAGGTATGACCAAAGTACATTGGAGATTTTAAAATGGCACTAGTTAGCGGCCACAAAGAAGAGAAGGGCGGAGCAATCCACTGCGACCCGAGTAGTTCTTACTTTGAAACGGTACGTGCATTTTTTCATTACTTTCAATGTTAAAGTGCCGATACTCCCATTAGAAAATGTATGACGTAGGTCCCCGGGGGGCATAAGTGTCATTCAAACACACATTTAATGGGAAGAGATGTGTTCCAAAACACCTTAGAAAACGCGAGTTGATGCATACATCGCAGAGCATTTGGTGAGTTCCCAAAGGCGTTTCCTCCAACAAGGTTGGACGTGGGATTCCCTTAAAAGTCCCTTCTCCATGGAAGGCAAATACTCCTTTGCTCGCAGTAGTTTCCCTCGGTGGATCACCGTAATGTGCAGCAAATAGCAGAATAAAAGTCGACAACCCGGTTAGTGCTTACTTGATGAGAAGGCAACCGAGAAGCTGTGTTCTGATCCGCTCGCTCGATGGGGACTCGTGGAGAAAACATTTTATCGGTGCGATTTACGTGCCCCGATGTTCCGCGATCTTCATCATCTACTATCAAATGTGATGTTGAGTTCGTGATGTCCGCTTCGGATACGGAAGACGGGGTCCGAAATGCATGAAGCGAAGAAGTCTCAGTACGATGTGACCCACCAGCCTGAGGTGTGTGGACTCCTCCTTCTGACTGAACAGACCGGGACCTCTGCTGCGTCCGCATACCAGTGTCATCGGTCTTGTCGAATCGAATTTGATCGAGACTGGAGTCCTTCTCCTTCCGGGTCATTCCAAACTGGGTGATGCGCAGTGACGTCGACAGATCCATTCTTTCGGAAGAGTCGTTTGTGGCCCGTAGGATATCCGGAGTGTCTGCACGAGAACGACGACTCACTTTGAAGCTCACAACATCCGAGGCAGTCTGTAAAGACAAACGAAAAAAAAGAAACTAATTAACGAACTAGATGAATGCAAAGCTAGTTTGATGGCTAGGAATTGCATGAGTACTGTTCGGATTAGAGTACTCTTGTGGATAGATGCGGACAGATTCCATATGATCCAGAGGTTAACAATGAATGTGAAACCCCGAGAAAGTCAGACTTATCACGTGTTTCCGTATTGACTTTAGTGCTTTACTAGAGGGGGGCACAGATTTTCTCACTTTTTCAACTAGTTCGACGAGCTGATCACTCATAAATGAATCGGCCGATTCACACTTGCAACTTTGATTGTGTGTGTTGGAAAACGTGGACTGACCCTCATCACACCAATAACGCACAGCAGTGGAGTCGAGCTGAACTTTAGTGTAGTCGTTTGATGCTAGTGTGTGGGGATCACCATTACACATGTACTTCCGTTGAAACCACTGTAGTGGTGGGATCGAAATGCATCTGCGTTCTCATCAAAATCGATAGATTCGGTTAGGATTCTGCGATGATTGTACACACATCACAGTAATCGCTTTGGGACAAGTCGATACCGATGCATTGGCCGATTCATTAAAATAACTTGAAGCAGCCCCATGGTGCTACAAAGGAAGAGCACATGCAAGTCAGATGTGACAGATCCATTCAAAATGACAGGAAACTGTTTCACATTTACAGTTTACCAGGTTGATAAACGGTGCATGTCAAGTGGATGGAGGATTTCAGAAGATAAGGCGGCTAGTTTCTGTTGGAAGGCCCAAGACCACGAGTTTTTCTGGAAGTAGTTGCCGCTGGGTAGACAATCCTTCGTGCTTACACGTAAAGCGCGATTTCACGTGTTTCCACGGGAAGCGTATGCTCGGTTTAGGTGTGGTGTTTGACTTCGCTTGCGTTCAGAGACGGCACCCTACATCCAGGTGCGTCAAACCGGGTGGTAGTATTGACTGGCTGGAGCAGATTCTCGTAAACCAGTTCAACCGTCTCGCTCATAGCAGCCAATTGGCGTAACGTATGATTGAGGCGCAAGCTAAGTGGGACGCTTCATTGTACAGATTCCATCAGAAGGGTTGTGTTCTTCGGCATATAATTATCATGGCAACCGCATTTTTGCAATAACAGAGGGAATGGCAAAATTGCCATCTGCATAACCAGTTGTCATGGTATCTAGCTCACTGACCACTCCTTATGGCTCGTAATTTGCTGATCAAACGAACAGCACAACTCCTGAGCTTCGCATCCAACGTCGTTTTCGCATTGTGGTAGGAGTGGATACGTATATTTTCAGCATCGACCGGGGTCACAAAAATTATGCGTGGAAGGTTCAACTCGGTCCAGCAGAGCACAAAAGCTACATAAACTATACCCTACCGGAAAGCTACAATGGCGTCGACGCAACTTAGATGGAGCTCTTCCTGACGTAAAATTTCGTAGATACTTCCATGATCTTCTGCACATTGTTTCCGACAGTCCCAACATGGGTCCACTGACTTCATAACATAAGCTTGCCTTATGCTGCCCTATGACTACTTTGGTTTTATTGAACAATGCAATTAGGTCTGTGAATTACACCACTTTATTCACTTTCGCAAGTAATATGTGAGTCGAGATTGTGTGCAATAACAGAACACTGTAAGGCACTGGGATTATCACGTGACGGCGCATTCGTTTGACTTACATTGATGATGTGTGCCGCCTGTTCTTGCGTACCGTTGGACAAGTCAATCCCGTTGATCTCCAAAATCTGGTCGTCCTTCTGCAATCGTCCATCGCAGTCCGCCTCACAACCCGGGACCAAATCGAGCACATACAGACCAGGCAAGTGTCTATGGAGAGGATAACGAAGGGACATGCGAGCATGGGGGATAAGTGCGGTTAAGGTGAGACAGTCTCCTTCCAGAAGTGATATATGGTGGTCCATTTCAGGAACATACTTTTGAATGACCAATCTTTCTAAAAGGTAAATCGGATGATCCGGTCTCACCTAAACTATGTTTGAGGAGAACGATGCTCTAGCCAAGGACTGCACACCCTTTAAGAGGTACAGTGCAGATTCCGATTAGTGCATGTATATGCTTGTCAGGAAACGTACACAAAAAATCTGCCCTTCAGAATAAAAACAATCAAGTTATATTAACAAAAACCATTAAATCAAGTTTTTTTTCGAAAATAACGATGCTAAGCGAAAACGATATCATAGAGAGTTCAAACGGCAATAAAATCTCACATGAGCTGTATCGATAAATCTTCTGTAAATTAGATATAGGTAGATACCTTCTAAAACTTCTGAAGTGAACAAAGCTACACTGGAGACGGTAACTTTTTACTATGCCTTATAGGTGACGTTTTCTGTTGTTTTGTGGAGGCGTCCTTTGAGCAGTGTCACGGCTAGCTTGAGCTAGTTTAATCTAGACTCTGAAACGTCACAAAACTTTTTCATGAACTTCACTGTAAAATTTTGCTAGCTGGCTTAATGGTTTATCGGCGTTGTTAACTTTTCTTTTATCCTTCACGAGACCACGGAAGTTTCATTCAGAATCAGCTTGTCAAACTTTCAAATCAGTACAAACTTGAACGGAAACGATTTTGTTATTTCACAGCCCTTGCTTACGCATCCGCTTTCGGAGTTTTATGGGGTTGAGAAAGTAAGAAAGTGTGTTTGTTCTTCAACTAGGTTGTCCTTCCTCTTTTCCTGCGGGCTGCTTGCAAGTGGGTCAAAATGCTCAACCTTACTACAACAGAGGAGACGTAGCCCGAGCTAACAGAAGGCAATGGAACGATAAACCAGGTTGCTATGACGTGGCTGTCATGAGGACAGCATAATGAGGAATACCTGTTGCGGAAGCCGGAAGGCGACGGCAGCCCGCGATCCCGTTCCAACGAGTGACGAACTAACATGGGTGCGCTGAGTCAACGTGATCATGATAAATGCAATTTTGGCTTCAGTGATGAGAACTGGACATGGCTTTCTCTGATTCTCAGCGTGTTCCCCCAAGCCCACTGTTGTAGTTATGGTCCTAGATCCAAGGCCCAACCCGAGTATGGGAAGACCTCAAGAAAAATGATCAGCAATGCCAAAAGCGGCCTATACAGCACAGCTATTGAGAGGGACAGTGAATGATACGGTCCGGATAACGAATAGAATTCGACCTGGATCAGGACAAGGGCAACGAACGACAGGTAAAAGGCCCACAGATGACGGAAGGCGAGGGCGATATTATGGTATGACCAGAGTGGACCGTAGTGACCAGTTACTTTATATATATATATATATATATATATATATATATATACGAACAAACTATCTAAAATGGTAAGCCGATAAGACATGAATATGAGACGAAGATGCCAAAACTTTAGTGATAGTAACAAAACAAGGACACGATGACCTTTCGCCCGCCACGTAGAGGACATGCGGGAATAAGCAATAGTCCGTGTACTCACTTTTTGCCCACCAATTTAATCCCAAGAACTTTGCCTTGTCGCTTGCATAACTTGACGTTTTTTTCGAAAATAACGATGCTAAGCGAAAACGATATCATAGAGAGTTCAAACGGCAATAAAATCTCACATGAGCTGTATCGATAAATCTTCTGTAAATTAGATATAGGTAGATACCTTCTAAAACTTCTGAAGTGAACAAAGCTACACTGGAGACGGTAACTTTTTACTATGCCTTATAGGTGACGTTTTCTGTTGTTTTGTGGAGGCGTCCTTTGAGCAGTGTCACGGCTAGCTTGAGCTAGTTTAATCTAGACTCTGAAACGTCACAAAACTTTTTCATGAACTTCACTGTAAAATTTTGCTAGCTGGCTTAATGGTTTATCGGCGTTGTTAACTTTTCTTTTATCCTTCACGAGACCACGGAAGTTTCATTCAGAATCAGCTTGTCAAACTTTCAAATCAGTACAAACTTGAACGGAAACGATTTTGTTATTTCACAGCCCTTGCTTACGCATCCGCTTTCGGAGTTTTATGGGGTTGAGAAAGTAAGAAAGTGTGTTTGTTCTTCAACTAGGTTGTCCTTCCTCTTTTCCTGCGGGCTGCTTGCAAGTGGGTCAAAATGCTCAACCTTACTACAACAGAGGAGACGTAGCCCGAGCTAACAGAAGGCAATGGAACGATAAACCAGGTTGCTATGACGTGGCTGTCATGAGGACAGCATAATGAGGAATACCTGTTGCGGAAGCCGGAAGGCGACGGCAGCCCGCGATCCCGTTCCAACGAGTGACGAACTAACATGGGTGCGCTGAGTCAACGTGATCATGATAAATGCAATTTTGGCTTCAGTGATGAGAACTGGACATGGCTTTCTCTGATTCTCAGCGTGTTCCCCCAAGCCCACTGTTGTAGTTATGGTCCTAGATCCAAGGCCCAACCCGAGTATGGGAAGACCTCAAGAAAAATGATCAGCAATGCCAAAAGCGGCCTATACAGCACAGCTATTGAGAGGGACAGTGAATGATACGGTCCGGATAACGAATAGAATTCGACCTGGATCAGGACAAGGGCAACGAACGACAGGTAAAAGGCCCACAGATGACGGAAGGCGAGGGCGATATTATGGTATGACCAGAGTGGACCGTAGTGACCAGTTACTTTATATATATATATATATATATATATATATATATATACGAAAAAACTATCTAAAATGGTAAGCCGATAAGACATGAATATGAGACGAAGATGCCAAAACTTTAGTGATAGTAACAAAACAAGGAACGATGACCTTTAAGCCGATAAGACATGAATATGAGACGAAGATGCCAAAACTTTAGTGATAGTAACAAAACAAGGACACGATGACCTTTCGCCCGCCACGTAGAGGACATGCGGGAATAAGCAATAGTCCGTGTACTCACTTTTTGCCCACCAATTTAATCCCAAGAACTTTGCCTTGTCGCTTGCATAACTTGACGCAGAATATCTCTGTGGGCCGAGTAGAAAAGAGAAACCAATAATAGAGGAGCTATGAAATAAAAAATAAAATGAATATAGCACTGAATGGCGAAATGCAGGCAATGCGAAACACACACAAAAGCTGGTTCATATCGGACAAGTCAAGTAAAATCCAGGTAATCTCTCAAGGCACGCATGATGACATGAGGTTCTTTGTCTGAGCTGTCACTGACTACGATCACCAACTAACTGTACCAGTTGTAACGGAAATGTACTGATAGCCATCGTCCCTGGGGCTACAACTATTGATCCGGCATAACTTTCATCCAATTGATATGTATCTCACCTTGACCAATCATCTACGGGCCCGCAGTGGCAGAGCTAGGAAAGCTGTAGATGGAAATGGGTGTGCGATGAAATCTCGCAATTCAAGAGATGGGTTCCTGGGAGGATAATAACGGTGCTGTATTGTATCGAACGCTATGTCACGACAAGGTTTATCAATTCCTGGAAGTATATTTTCCCCATAACCTTATCGGACCAATAGGCACGTGGAAAAAGGGACAGATAGAGAGAACATCGTTGGCAAAGACAACTGGCTGACAGGAGAACCACAAGTTCAGCCGGCTATGTGCAAACATGTAGAGATAAGTTTGAATGGTGGAAGGTTAGGTTGAGTAATCAAATTACAGCACCGTTAGCTTAAGGTAGCAGTCGAAATCCAAACAGCAGCCAAACGATTACTCGCCTCGATTTCAATCCGTTCAATATCAACACCTGTTTATTTTCAACCCATTTCACTGCATCACCATCAACTTCAGGTGGTTGCTGTAAGATACAGACTGGCAACTGCCACCATTCCCGGGGCACATAGAAACCATATTCAGATTTGTAGGTCCAGGGTCGTATAACAAGAGAAAAAAATGACCCGTGTATGTTTCTCTTGAAGGACCAATTCATGCGCTGAATATATTCTGCCTTCCAACCTCACAGGTGGTTGGGTTACAAAAACTGTGTGTAAATTGCCAACCACCATGACTCGCACGACCTTATTGCGTTGGACAGTTCGGGACTTACCTTCTAAGATAAAAAAAACATGGAATAATGCAGCCTGAATCAACTATGAAGAATCAGTGGGGAATGAATGTCTAGAGGTAGGTATAGGCACCTCAAAATGATTGTGATAAGCTAGCATCAACTCCCTTTCTTATCTACCTTTATCACGTTCCTCACAATACGGCTTTCAAATGAATTATGGTTGCACGGCAGCGTAGCATACGTGTTGAACACTGCCGGGTGTTCTTCAGCCTGCTGGTGTGTGCTATGAACTATGTAGTTAACTTTGGGATGACTTGGTTCACGTGGACGATAATCCTACCGTAGCCGACGCTACAGCAGAGGATGAACTTTTCCCAATGAGTAAAGGTCAACTAACAGGAAAGATATTTCCATTAATTCGATATTCCTAAATCTTCCCCGAAGTCAAATAAGACAATCGAGGCGGCCGTTACTCCCCGACACAATGGGGGAACTCAATCACAGTGTTTAGATGACTTTTCAAAAAAATTTCTCTACATAAAAGCACCGACTGTGAAAAATCAAATGCTGTACTCATGCGACTAAGGTCCTTATTGTACACTGAAAATTTAATGCAAAATGTGTTTTCGCACCGAATAAAATAGTCTAGAAGTTAAATTCACATATCCTGGAGATCGTATGCCGCGCAGTGTGAGGAACGAAATGTCAGTCAGTTTATTAGGAACCATCATCATTGGCTAGACAGAGATGCATTGGATACATTCTAATTATCAGTAAACGACACTTGTGTGGCTGTGGAAACTAAAATATTTGCCCTCAATAGATCTAAAATGGACTGACCAGCCACAGGGGAATATTTACAGTCAATGGAGCTTACAATCCAAAGGAAAGGAAAGGCAGGATGCTAGGTGAGCAAGTTCTTTATGAAAGCATGTTAACACCGGCAGAGTGATCATCTTCCAGGGTAACGGCTACCACGGAGTAAGGGACAAAGGCCTACCTTCTTGTGTTTGACATAGTGTCCCTTGACGCGCATTCCAGCTCACGGACTCCCGAAACACAGTGAGCTGGACTATTGGCGTAGGAGCAGTCAACTGTTGGTGGGCTTCAAGGTGCGTGGCAGTTGTGATAGGATGGCCATTTACCTAGGTGAAAATAAGACGTTGGGTAAAAATACACGGAGCGAGGGAGAAACGAGTGTTTGCATGTGAGCCCATGTGAACTGAAAGTGCAGTAATAAGTAACCAGCCAAGGGCGGTATGGTCAAACTTTATATGTAATTTTGGACAATTGAAAACCTAGCTCAATACGGTCAACAGAGACATGCAGCTACTCGGTCTCCACGTGGTCTACGACATTCGTCACTGGGGCTGACAGCGGATCACGATTTGTGCAGATCGGGCAGCCGGTTGCCCTGTCCGAGTAGCGTGTAGCGACTAATCATGTCTCAGAAGATGGTAGGTAGTAGAGTAAATTAAGTAAGTAGTAAGTAGGGATCATGGTTTTCTCAGTTAGCAGTGTTGTGTGAAACTCAAGGTAAGTTAGGCAAATTACGAAACTCGGCATGTCAGCTGATCTAAATCAAACCTGAAGCCGACCACAGCTGCTACGTGCTCTCAGTATGCTAATTTCCCTGTGACCAGTAAATTAACCCTCAATCAACCTGATGACACCTATAAGTATGCTAGGTAAACCACAACAAAGGCGAAGTAAGGCCCAAAGGTCCTGACTATATATTTGAAACCAAGGAATTGAAAAAAAGTAGTAAACCGATAAACATATTGTTAGGGAAAGTGCCCGCCTCAAATACATCACACAGTTAAATCAAATATGCAGTGTCCATGGGTCAACATCACCTAAAACCCAACAGGGTAACCTTCGGTTCGGAATACCGCAGATAATGAGGTGCACACACACACAAAAAAAACCAGGCGTAACAATCAATACCAACTCAATCAAACAAAAAAAGCGTTCAGCTGTAACACCCTTTTGGTACCTAGCTGCCATGCTACCCGAAGGAAGCGCGACGGGTGGGATACTATTAGGTCGCCCAAGCTTAGACAGGGGAAGTCGAGATGTAGAGGCCGGGTTCGAACAACAGACCTTCCGTTCAGTAAATTTGCGCTCTAACCACTGAGTCACCTTAGCCCCCTTAATCAAACGGGCTCTAATAATGCCCAAAAATGGCGCTAGAAAAACCACTTTCACGTCGTTTTTATGTTCATGGTGTGAAGCAAGGATGTCCGAATACATACTCGGCCTGGTGCACAAATTCAAAGAAGTGGATCTCGAATCGAGGCGTTCCGGGAAGTAACATAAACGACACAGAGATGTGTTAAGACGAAGAAAACAGGATGAAAAGAGGACTGGTAAAATTATTCCCAGCTGTCGATATAAACCAAGAGCAAAAGACTTGATGGAGCATGATTACACGTACAAGAGAGTTAGAACGAAGGAAATGCGATTTTCGCCATTCGGGACTGTGATGCTAAGATTCCCAAAAAGTCAGCCTAAGTTGAAAAGCTGACAGGACCAGTACAACTGTCGCATCCGTAATAAGAAGCATAATCGTTGTACACCACACGAGTTCTGGTAGGGTTCGAGCCGAAAACGTTCTAGGAATGCGTAAAACATTGAGATGCAAATGTAGTCACCTAAGTGTTCACCAGTAAATGCGCACATCGCGTGTTGGCTGGCTCCTTCAAGATTGGGCAAAAACATCATTGCACCTCTCCACAAATTTTCGAGTTTGCGATCTCCCAAGATTCCACTATGGATTTCGTCAGGCGAAGTTACGGAAACCCCAAATGAAAGATACGGACTACCAAAACATATCGCTCACCAAGTTTTGAGGGATGAATGAAAGCCAAGTTCCGTGGATTTTCATTGGCAATACCTGTGCCACGCATCCTAACTAAGGCTATCACCCATAACCTGTAAAATATGAGAGGCTGATCGCTCGGTAGTCACACCAATAGAGTGCTGACAAATTGGTGCAACCGTGATGATCGTTTTTGAACTGCAATAATTGGCCTGTTAATTAAGGAATTCCATTTCATTTCCACTTAAAGTATGGTTGCAATTCCTCTTTTAAACCGAAAGCCTATGGGACGTAAACTATGCTAGCCAGCAAGCGGACCGGCTAGGAAAATGTACAATAAGCGGTCCGGAAAGTTACCGTCTTTTTGTTGGGAAATTCAAGCACCAGAATGCTCGCACCCAGAAAGTAGAACAGTAACAGATCGTCGGGGCAAATTTCTTCGATTCCCTAAACAAATCCAGCAAACCACGACGATCCCATGGTGGTAAGGTACTCTGGAACTCGGTGTAACGATAACGAATGTTATCGGAGTTAAGGGATAGCTGTATGCAGGCATTGGGGACTTGAGGAAAGCCCGAAACCTCGCCAACCATATGCTGACTGGGCAGCTGGCGGGACACAAGCGACACGGTCTGTGTTGCAAAACAAACCTATGGCAGCCTCAATCGTAGCCTGAACCGGTGACACTGGAAGCGACAGAAGCTCTTGCGATGGTGTCAAGCGAGCCGGGCAACCGAACACCGATTATGATATGTGTGGGTGGAGTGTTTGCGACGTCAATGTGGTTGCATGTTGGTTGGTTGTGATTACCAGTGGGATGCGGCCAGTGAGAGGAGGCAATTTCGAGTGCCTACCTAGATTGCACTGGCAAAAAAGGCATCGCAGGTAACACACTCTCGTTTTGCACGAGATTCCACACGAAGGGAGTTGACGAAAACAACCAACAGCATGGACCGACTACAAACTGGATGATCGCTGAGCTTTCATTTCGCACTGCGATACTTCGGCCCACAAATGTTCCGGGTGAAATGCATGGCTTTCTTTGGCTGGCCAAGTGTACGTGGTACACCTGAAAAGCTTCATCTGCTGCGCAAGTGAATTCGGCTCAATATCTAGTAGTCGCCCACGGCCCACTTCAACGTCTACTATCCTGCAAACACATCAGTGATCAAATATCCGAAAGGGTTTTAGACCTTCGCAGCCATTAAGTATGAGCGTTCTCAAGTTTTCATTGAAACTCGAGCCTGACAATAAAGATGATATAGGTTGGTGAATATTGCTCGTGACTTGATGAAGCACTCGCTAATTTCATCTGTCAAAATACATTCACGGCTTATGCAACAAAACCAGGCCTAAGATTGTGAAATTTTGAGCAAACACAAGGGATAAAAAAATCCTAGGGTAGAAATTCGTACACTGAGGGTTCGGAGAGCACGCCAAAACAAGGGACCACTATTCGGATCGTAGAAAACAAACTCATCAGCGACTGGCCAGAGGGTTACAGTCTCAAGCGAAGCATGAGCTCCCATCGGTACGGCAGCGGAGTATTAGTGTCGATTTCTGATGTCACGCTGTCGATGATGAGCTCCCATAGAAGCGAAGGCTTTATGAGGTCTTCCAAACGGTATAGTTAGGTAAAATGAATTCGTAGCCCCTCACACTACAGCCTATAGCCAATAAGCGGCAGTATGAGGACAGAGGCAGAATTCAAATGGATTGTGTCAGTAAACCAGTCAGTAATGCCTCAAGACTAACCAGAATGATGTGTAAATGATAGAGGTAGGATCTATCGCTGTTCCCGAGACCAGCCACAGAGACAACCGTATCGCGGATGTGAGTGGGTGCGCGCATGCAAGCACAAACGTGCGCTTTCAGACACGTGATTCAATTCTGAAAACAAACTGGCCGAACGCTTGGTTGGTTGGCGGACGGAGTGAACATGTGATCTTGCAGGGCGGCCAAAAACTGTTCTTGTTGGCATGACGCTAACAGCATAAATTATCGATTGTTCAAGTTCTTACAATGCTAATGAACGCAGACTGGGGAACGTGGAGAAATCCATCGAAATCAGGACGAATAATGAAGCAATGAAATCGAAATTAACGTGGAGAAGAAACATCGTCAAAAACACAGGAATCTAGGGGAGGCGCGAACAGTGTGAACAGTGTGTTCTACACACGATTATGTAGTTGTAAGCGATTTACCAAGACTGCGCTCATAGAACTTCGATCATATCAGAGAAGCACGCTGAATAAAGACAGAAAATCAGGACAAATAGTAGATGAAACGGCTTTGGAAGCCGGTTGCTCGACCGTTCTCATCGCGGGCCACATTCAGCCTTCGCCCAAGCTAACGTGAGAATAAACTGGCGAGCAACCGAGATCCGGGGAATGATGGCCTCTCATATTGTCGACCGGGGGAGTATCATCACCCAACCTGTAGAATCCTCACTGTAGTTTGTAAGTCGCAGTTCTTGGCTTAATTTAACATTTTTTCTCAATAAAACTGGTGAACAGTCACTTTGTAATGGATTCGTTCATTTTATTAGAATTTGGGGGGAATAGCCCCTGGCAAGTACACCAATGCCGCGCCTGACAAAAAATGAGGATTATCAAAACAAGAAGGTCGAAGAGACATCATTCGTCAGAAGCTGATAGCAAAAAATTACCTCAAGAATTTGGTCTCCCGGTCGGAGTCGCCCATCAAGTGCAACCGCTCCGTCCAGGTAGATTTCTTGAATCAGAACACATGACTGAAGGGAAAAAGAATGGAGAAAATTAACTGACGTGTATGTGAGGACCAAAAAAAGTAAGGAAAAGCTTTTCGTGGCTGCAAACTGTGTATGTGTACAGAATAGCTACATCATCTAACGGGCGATTGAATAAACAGAGCCCATAATGAAAAATCTTAGATAAAAATCCCACTTAACTGATTTTCAATGGAATGGGGGAGTTTTGGATAAGTAAAGGTAGCAGGACAATGAGGATATTAGTAGTTTGTTACCGAATGCAATACATGCAGAACACGAATCACAAGAACAAGATGACCGATTTCCCAATTCCCACCTAACTTGAGCGACTACCAAGAAAACCATGGAAAGTTCACGGGGGCAAGATGACTCAAGTGGTTAGAGCGTGAATTTACTGACCAGAAGGTCCGTGGTTCGAACCCGACCTATGCCTCTCGACTTCCCCTGTCTAGGCTCGAGCAGTCTGGCAGTATCTCAGCCCTCGTGCTTCCTTCGGGTTGCATGGCAGCTAGGCACAGTGTTACAGTTCGGGGCTAAATTGAAGACTTCCAGAGCATAAACCTGGTTTGTGTCCTTGAGAGATTTGTCTGCGCGGTGTGTTGAATCCCATGACCACCCGGAAAGATGGAATAACTTCAACTGGGCGTTATGTCTCAATCGGAGGTCATCTGGCACAGAGCGTGCTCCTTCGGGGTGGGAGAAAACCTCGGATTACGTGGCAAGGGTAACACAGACTTCGGTAAGCATCTTTTTGTTCTCAACCCAAAACCACGGGGTTAATTCTACCAAAGATGTACGTCAACTGGTACGTCCAATGACTTGCAAATTAGAGTTAGCTTGGGATGGTTCATCCGGTAAGGTGCGAACCTACTGACCGAGAGGTCCGTGGTTCGAACCCAACCCCGGTATCTGGACTGCTTCTCCGGAGGCTTGAGTAACCCGGTATCTCAACCCTCGTGCTTCCCTTGAGTGCCAAAAGTTACAACTGAACGGTCATTAGTATTAGTAAATGAAATTGGCCTCGCACCTTAATGGGTGACAGTGGTATTGACTCTGCATGCGTAGCAATAAGCTCATCTCAGTGCCATGAGATTTTATCCAGATCGAAACCTACAGGAACCTGTTGTTTCTGCCATAACATAAGCACTTTGGGATTCAATCGTTTGAAAATCGAAACCAGGCTTCCAACCTGCGATCAGTCTGGTGTATACAACGAAGCAGCATCCAAGTACTAGTTATGCAGTGAGACTTTGAATTTCGGTTGAGGGGGCCGGTTCATGAAGAGCTTGCAACTCACCAAAACTACGTTAATGTCCGGAGGCCAGCCGCTCTTGATAACGGACATCACGCCGATTGGACGGATGTCTCAGATAAGGTCTACAGACCAAATGAAGACAGGCCCTAATTGGCCAGAATGTCAGACAATCTAGATTGGGCATTTGTAATTCGGTCTTTCTCTCGTCCTCACGAAGATTCTAGTGTGACCTAGGGAAACCCTATAAATACAGCTCTAATGACTTTCCTTTGTCTCCATAAAGAACTGTCTCGAGCCACCGTGCCTTTTGACATACCACAGTGGGAGAGGCAGAAAGTCAGGGATCGACATAGAAGTTGCATCACCGTTTGCAGGTATCGGATAAGACGTGATTGATCCTACTTACATATTGCGCATTCTTCATGGTAGGGAGAACAGGTCCTTGACAGCACACATCCCTTTTGTCAGGAAAGCAGGCAAGCAATTACTAAATCCAATCAATTTAACTTTGAATCAACCCACATTGGTAAAAATACCACGAGTTGGCTGGAGAGCTTACCAAACTCCGCTTGTTAGATCGATTTTACATGACTGGATTCTAAAGTCCAATCCTGATGAAAGAGCATGGGATCAGTCGAGGCTCATGTTCGACGTCGTTTTTCAAGTTGAGTGAGAGATTATACAGAGGCTAAGTTCCTCGAAAGGATGTAAACACATTGTAGACGGTAGTCGGACATCCCTGCTACATACTCCAAACATCTAAGCCTGATGAGTTTTAATTGTTTCCCTGATTCACCACCGGCACCACTTCATTACGACAATGCTGCAGCCAGCTAACGCCTGCCGAAAAGTGAAGGCGCTGATGAACAAAAGTTTGAATCCGTCCAACGTTCCCGATTCAGAGGAGCCATTTTTCACCTAAAGATTCGCTTACAGTTGTCTTGTACAGCGGGGTCCTCTCGATTAAGTGAAATTTGTTTCGGACAAGTTCATAAATGTTGCGCGCCATGGTGATTTGCGCATGGGACTCTTCTGTCTGGTACAGTCATGGCTTATGCAACTGCCCAGATAGGTAAACCGGACAACATATTCAAGTCTCCGTACCTAAAGTTTCACAATAACACAAAGATTATTTGCATTTTGGAGGTAAAAGCGCATGCCTAAAGTAAGGGTTACCTCCAAAAGTCTATTCGGAGTAGACCATTCGGACTGACGTTCATCAAATAACGGGATAATATTGTCCGTGAAGCATCGGTGTTGAACACTGATGTCATGCTGTCGATGATGATGATTATGATTGTCCGTTTAGTCCAATTCTGCCAGTCCCCCAATCTACAGGGAGCCAAGATCGTTTGCAGAGCGCATTCCATGATGATATAGAAGACAATATTGAACATGAACGGCGAGAAAAGGCAGTTTTGCCAAACCGCGCCAGTTGTAGGAAAACTTCTGGACAATTCGCTGTAAACTCCCATGCGACCTTTGACTGATTCCTGAACAGTCAGTTCTTGTACCCTTTTGAATATAGGGACGATGACGCATTGGCCTCAGTTGTCCATGACGCTTTTGAATGCACTGATAAATCTGGCTCGGCGGGGATTAAGAGTTACAGAACGGCGTAGATGGCTGTTGATACATTTACATTTACATTAGAGCATTCCTGAGAGGAATACGCATCGGTTAAAGCCTTGTAAATTCTTCCGCCTAAAGCTGGGCACATGACACACAAAGTGCGCATCGCATGCACGGTGAATAAAGAAAAAAACAACTGAATCGACCTACTAGTGGTGTGTCCACGCCACCGACAAACGTAAATCCCAAATCAGCACATCCGGGTGATCGGCGGATAACGACAGAAACAGGTACTCCTTCTTTGACCACAGGTGCGTCATCTGAAAAGACGAAAGGTGGGAAAGAAGACCACGAAAGTGGGACAAATGTACATAAGCCTTTCTGATCAAACCGACAAAGGTATTAAGGTCTCTCGTTCTTAAATTATATCTGAGCTCTCGCACTGCTTGATACACAGCGGGTTTTTCATGATGGTGCCTTGCAATATTCGCCATTTTCTTGGTTTCCCCCATTTGTCGTTGACGGTCAGTTGGTCTTCCTGTCATTCAGACGTGTACATTTGGAAATCAAGATATAATTGTACCGACACTATCGAATACACTCCGGTTGCCCACGGGCCACATAATGCGAGAAATCAAACTATTCTGTGTGGCGTGTCCGTCGTCTGACCAATTCTGAGTGGTACCGCACGTGACAGAGACAAACTGAGCCCCAAAAAGATGGAAATCGGTCTTGCACCTGAGAAAATTACCGAATGCATAAGGCCAACCGATAACCTCTAGATTAATGACGACTGGGTTATAATCATGATGTGAACACGCCAAGTAAGGGGTCGGCAAGTTGCTGAATGTGCAGTAATCCTCCCCAGAAAAGCCAACACTCAGAGAAGGTCTACTTAGCCTCCCCTGAGGATGACTCTAGTTCGAAGACATCGCACACCGAATCACCACTGGAGCAATGCTGTTGTGCAGTTTCCAAGAAAGTGGCCCCAGTTCGGAGGTTTCTACCACTTTGAGGGGAAGCACACAAACAACCCGAAGTCCAAGGTCAAGCACCCATAAGACATGTTTTAGTTGACCTATTGTTTTAAATAATTTAGTGACTAGCGTTGACTTGTGTGTAAGAATAATATGCTGCTTGAGATGATTCGCTTACAGGTTTCATCAATATCAGATAGTGGCAGTTTTACGTCCGGTCTCACGCGATCACATGATTGAAGGACATGAACAGGCTGGAACGGACTCGTATGGCTGCCGGCGAGCAGACGCGGTGTGAATCCGGCAGTGCGTCGAGAACCAGTCAATGGAGACTGTGTGGAACCAATGGCCTTCCTCGATACCGTTGAAGAGGCCGATCCAACTGCCCCCGAAATGTGTGCAGATATGGGAGGAAAACGCTCCTTGGTGGAAGTGTGCCGGTGACGCGTCAAAGAAGAATCATCAAAGCTGCGACAACAACCCGGTGATCCTGGGCAGCGCTCACGCAAATGTTCTTCCAGGCCGGAACGTTCAAGGACAACATTGCAGAACTGAGAATTTGGGCAAGCCACTAAAAGCTTGTCCAAAAGGCTGAAGTGAAACAGGAAAATCGAAATACAAGACAAGCAGATTAGTAAAGTCATGACAGCATATGGAGAACCAAGCACCATCGAAAGCTCACTGTGTCAGTTCAAAGAAACAGGGCGATAAACCTCAATCGCACATATGTTACGGCAGCGAAGAATCATTATTTGAACTCTGATGTTGTGCTGTCGATGATGACACATAAATATCAAAACCAGATCTCTCACCGGCATAAAAAACAACTGCCATTGCCCAGGTAACAGCCCATTACACACCAAGAGTTGGTGCCTCGCCTTTCACATTTTGTCATTCCTTCGAATGTGAACAAGTACAACCAAGGCCGACATTCAATTCCAGTACCGTCCAACAAGCCAATAACACGACTGCTTCACTAGTGGCAAGCTTAATCTTGGTTCGAGACTTTTGTTGAAGACTTTTACTGATTTACTTCTCAGACTACATGGCCCAATTAGGGTAATTATAAAGCAGTTGGAGAATACCATAAACGAGGGTCTCCCATTAACACAGCTTAGTCTGTAAACGAGTGTATTTCTTCAAAGAGAAGACCGTAATTGATTCCATCAGGAAAATCTACTGCGCTACCTCGAATACCATACCAACCGAAATACAAGGTAGCTTTTGTGAAGCACATTCAGCTGAAGAGAGATTCAGTCGAGTCTTTCTTCCACAGCAAATTAGATTGCAAATGGGCGTAAAAAGCTAGACTACTTGAAGAGTAAAAGGAAAAAACAGGTACATAAACTGTTCCACATCGTTCAAAAATCATTCTAGATCCAAACCAAGATAATTTGACGTGATAATTGCCCACTCCACTATTCCTTGGGGGCGATGACTGCGGTCCAATAGCCTAGCCAAAGTGAACACTTTGTTCACCGGTTGTGCCAGGCTCTCAATTTAAGTAGTTAGTTCGACTAACTTTGAACTAAACTTGAGCAGTTGAAGCTCTTGACAGCCCTAACTAAAAAAAGACGACTGTTCTTTTGTGAGAACATGAAATGAAATCTGGCACAAACGGAAGCCCATTAATCCAAAGCTCGAAATAGCTCAGTGGTTAGGGTGTAAACTTACTGACTGAGGAATTCGTGTTTCAAGCCCAACCTCAGTATCTCAGCTCTCGTGCTTCCCTCGGGTGCCACGGCAGCTAGACACCGAGAAGGCGTTACAAGTGAACGATTAATATTATTATTAATTCAAAAGTACTGACCCGAAAGAAGATAAGGCAACCTTAATGCTGTCAGCATGAAAAAAATAAACAGTTGAACAGGGAAGCTTCTTGTGAAAAAGAAAGAAAGAAAGTGTTCAACTGTAGCACCCTTCCGGTGCCTAGCTGCCATGCCACCCGAAGGAAGCACGAGGGCTGGGATAATGCCAGGTTGCCCAAGTCTAGACAGGGGAAGTCGAGTGGCGGAGGTCGGATTCGAACCACGGACCTTTCGGTCAGTAAATCCGCGCTCTAACCACTTGGACCATCTCGCCCCCTTGTGAAGGATGGCACTTATTTAAGAACGTTACGGTGGCGAGATATGCCCATCACGGTAGGGAGTCTGAGAATCAATAAATAAGGACTGGAACAGAAACCTGTTCTAATAAAGCTTCATCCTGCAAGTGAAGGCGATCTATTATGAAAAGCCTAGAAGCACTGTACAGCTGCTTGATACTTGTTAGGGATCATCAGCATTAGGCTTCCGGCAGTTGAACATTAGGCCATTTGGTTATTAGTGGCCGAGAGGCAGTGTGATTAACTTGGATGTAGCCCCACCAAACCTCAGTGTCGGTTCACTCCACATGATCGGATATTCTAGTGAATGCGTTTCAAATGGAACGCCCTTACGGCTCCACTTAACTGATAGTCCATTCCAGTCGCTAGCTTCATCTGAGGCATACCCGTATGTCCAGATGGACAGTCATCGGTATAATACTATGGAAATCTCACTGCTCGGCAGTAAAACCGATGAAAATGCAGAAATCTATAAACAGATGGGCAACATAGATAATACTAACCGTTTGACAATTTTCGAGGCCTGTTGGCATTCCAAGTAGTTGATAATTTGCCGATCAACTGGACAAAGGGCCTGGACAGCCAAATGATTTTTCAAGCATGGGGTGCAGAATGTGTGACCACACTTGGTATCTAAGGGATCAATCAGGGGTTGATAGCACAGCTGGGGAGGAGAGACAGAAACAAGTTGGAAGTCAATATTTAATTCGATGCAACTGACAAAACACGTCAGAAACGGTGGTGAACGGTTAGACGGGTTTACCAATCGGACAGCTACTGAGACACACAGGACAAGTAAATGCGAGACTCTGCAACAGTGGTAATGGGGTAATGTGATGTAACACATTGTGCTTTGCTTCACAAGTGATATTCGTACCCGTTGGCAGTTAATACATCGAAACAGTATAACCTCGAAATAGTCTGGTGTTAAATAGAAAATGGTAAAAAAAATGATCGGCTAAAGTGTAAATCGTTATTAAATAATCAGGTACCCATAGAGAACTCTCAAGAAGGAAGATCAACTGGTTTTACTGTTAAACTTGAATTATCAGAGTTACAGTCACCCAGAACATCGAACTCACAAGCACACGTACAGTCAACTAACCAGTCGATGAGCAGAAAGCACGGTGTTTTAATGCATTTGTTAGCTCCGATACATCCTTTTTTGGGCAAACTGTTGGAGGCTGTTAGTTCTGGGGAGTGTCCGGCTTCTTAATTATAAGCCGATCAAGAAACATCTTAAAGCTATGCTCTGTAGGCGACCAATATGACCTCGATTGGAAGGCTGTCCCACACATTCACAAAAATGTGATAAAGCTCGTAAAAGTCCCGTAAAGACAGGGGAGAAATCACACGGCAGTGTACCTAATGGAGTGACTGAAACTATACGTTATTGTAAAACACCACTTCCAGACAGGCAGTGCCATTGCTATGAGCAAGAGCAAAGGACGCTGTGTGATACACCTGCTGGACAAACGGTTAGCCCATATGGCAGCTCAGGCGGAATCACTGGTTGCTTACCTGTTTTGAGCTTGGCGAACGGGCAACCACCCAAATGGTGAGCAGCTTAGCAAGCTTGGAATTCGATTCACCATCAGCATCAAAATGGTCACCAGCAATATGTATCGACACTGATTCTTTACTACCGTACAACCACAAAGTTTATCAAATCATATTTCAAGCCTTTGAATGAAAAGAACCGAAAAGAGCGGGTGAGGGGAGGGACCTGGCGCAAGCATTATGAGGTGCCCACGCCTCCAAGTGCTCAGTCAAACAATCTGGAAAAAAACTGACAACACGAAAGCCACTGACGTCGATCGGACACAATTTCCCGTAATGTATCCAGCCAAGAGCAGGTGGGGTCATGGGGATCCCATCCTGGAAGGCGTCCAAACTCTTCCTAATCTTTTTCACACCATTCAAGTAAGTCATACGTTGTCCATTTTGCGGTTTTCACCACTCAATTACGAGTCCATCTGTGAGTGGCGTGGACTGCTAACGAGAACTACAACGTGATCCGTAAATAAGAAACAAAATGGTTCATCTCTCTGCCATGAAAGTAGGCACGAAAATCGCCATTCCAGCGCCTCTTATTTATAAGGAAATGAAGTTTCATTCCTTCATGCGCATTATTATTTATGACAATTGCTTCAAGTTGCAGTTCACATCGTCTAGTTTCATCGCCAGGGGTGTGTCACGACTAATGACAAATCCAAATCCATAAGCGTGCAGTCATCATTGGCGTAACATCTGCTAAGATCAAGTCGATGAGTCGAAAAAAATTTCATGTGTTGCTTTGAAAAGCCACCTCAGGTTGCGGAATGAATTGGTTATTAACACTAAACGGTATCCACTACTCGACGATGTGATATCCGGTCAGCAGCTCGCATCGCTCACCTCACCAGAGAGGGGCTTCTCCGCTTATTTATACATTTTTACTAACAAACAGCGACAAGTTCCGCTAATGTCCGCTGTGACGGGAAGGGGAGGGCTGTGGTTGATGAATATGGGTACCACTGACTTATCGTATTCGGAAGAATTAGGCTCCAATTCGGACACCAAAATTGCCACATAAAATGTTTTCGTATTCCGGTCTATCGCAATGTGTATGATTTAGTCTCTCCTAGGGACTGCACCCCGCATTCATAAAGAGCCAGTTAGTTTATCTGCAACGTCACCTTTTTGTGCATGCGTTTCCACGGAGGGATTCACAGCACTCCTGGCTCTGAAACACTGTGTGGTTACATGAACCTCTAAATAAAATCGGGCTTGTGGGAAAACCAAACTGGACTCACCGTGCAACACAAATCCGCATCTATCGCTTGTGTATAATTGTAACGATGTGGCTTGTTCACATCATGAGACTGGCCGCAAACGGAACAATAGGCAACGTTTCGGGCCGGTAAAGAACGAGCACTAGATACGGAGGATGTTAGTGCATCGTACTGTATTGGGCTATGAACATTGAAATGATCACCTTCCACACTACCGCTGTTGCTTTCCGTGCCGGTCTTGGGCACACGTAGTAACAAGCGAGGTGGTTCCGTCGCCAAACTCTGACGGTCGATACTTGTCTGCTGATCTGGATTAGCTCGAGGTGGAAGAGGAGATTTCTGCGACCGGCTGTTACGTGGCTGCAACTCAGTGAAAGCGGAACATGGTGAGGGGAAGGCAGAAGGCACCGTTATAGGAAACGAAGGGAGGCCTTGAGTGATGGGATATCTAGGTTGAGGATGGTTTCCGTTGACAGGTGGCACAGCCAAAATGTGGGGTAAAGGAGGAGGCTCGAAAAGCGGAGGACTGGATGAAATACATGGTGGTGAGGCATTCAACACACCGTCATCGACTGGCTGAATAGGCAGGAAACCCTCAACAGCGATGGAGGAGGGATGCTTGAATGAGTGTTGGGAGTCCCTTTCTCCTTTCTTCTGATCCAAATCGGAGAGCTGATTAGCCGGACATTCGTTCGAGAGTGTGATACCCTGAAACCGGAAAAGCAAAAAAGGGAATCAGAAAGATAAGTTTTGATCCTCCACATGGCTATACTGTCATCTAAGATTCGGGAACTGTTGGAGCTGGAAAACATTTCAATGAGTCATTATAGAAAGCAAAATCCTCGAAGTACCCACATGAAAGTAAGAGGGAACCAGGATGAAGAATGGAAAGGTTTTGTGTTCATAAAAGATCCATAAACCATGTACCAAGGGTAGGTTGACGTCCGCTCTTACGGTTCCGGTCACCGGGGAATGGGAGAGCAGGTGGGTATAACCAAGTACTGGAGGCGATTGTATATCCGAGTAGTTCGGCCTGAATTAGCTTACTCGTTTGAAGGGATTGGAAACTGGGTAGCGAAGCACTGTTTTACTGCACAACGGCCACTCGCTGTGATACAGCCAAGTATATCAAATTCTGTATGCAACCACCCACATCTACCAGGGTCATTAAACATTGGTTAGTTGATTTTCCTATCCTAATAGCGGCAGTTGTTAGTCCGACTGAGTTTAATGGTAAGCACTTTCATACTTCGATGTCAGATCACAGACTGCTATATATGGCTTCCGCCACTCAGCAGAGGGTTAATCAAGGCAGCTGGTCCTCTGAGATGTGAAGTACAAGCCATAACCATCTTCAGCGCGCAGAGGCCACGTTCCTGATCCATCCGACTTTATATCATCACTTTACACTTTGCAGGTGTGAAGCGCACACCAAACCGTGCGACAGAATTAGGTTATCTAATCGACTTGCATTTTTGGAGATCCGAACCAGGGAGGGTAATACCGTGCCGCTGAGCGGACATCACGGGAGCATTTTGATTACCAAGACTTCAGAGACAGGCCGAGAAACTTTAAGTAGCATTTCAATAAAAAGGTTGAAGAAGAATGGTAAGAGAGGGTAGACCTATCTTACATCACTGGGCCTGCCGAACTCAGACGACGGCTGGTTGTATACCCGTATCCGTCCGCAAGAGTTCGTATTCACTGCTCTCATAGCGGATATAAATTAAGAAGGGACACCTTGGATCGTCAAACATAGTAAAAACTCATTATGATCAACAGACTCAAAAAGTAGCTTTCACAGGAAAAGCAAACAACGTCGGAGGATTAAAGAGTGATACCGTCCCAGAACACTTCCTGAGGTAAAGATATGTTCGATGCATCCTCGGCCAGGACGAGACCCAGCTTGATTCTCACGAATTTGTCTCTACAGTACAAAATAAAGCCAAAGAGCAGATTGGACAGAACAACTACAAGGCTGATGCCACGAGTGGTGAAAAAAGCTTAGGGAAATAAGCGAACTGAGACTTCTACGAGAACGATTGAACTTACTGCTGCGGAAGCTGTATGGTTTCTCTGGACTGGTAAATTGTCGTAAACGACGGAAGGATTGAAGGGATTATCAGATATTTGGACGGAATTCATTCTCACTGACTGAGAACGGTTAGTTTAACTTTGTGCTGTTTGTGGCTCGCTATCCTCTTCAGCACGACTGGTAACACTGTGCCTCTCAAGACATCTTGCAGAATTAACTAGCGATGAACCGGATGTGGTCATCACGTGAAATATCGATCGAATAGACGCGGCGAGTCATCTGAAAAACTGGAAAACACCGATACATAGCGAGCAGCGTTGGAAAGGACACCTAAAGTCTAGTGAAAAATTCAACCCCGAAGTTTCAGAGGCAAGCGGAGGAATTTCAAGCAGCACTAATCAAAAAAGTTGAAGAGGAAAAGGGAGAGCAGCCTTGTCTTGCACTAATGGACGTGGTGAATTCAGATGAAAGTTTGCCGTACGCGCCAAGAGGATTTCACATACAATGCCCTCATAAGGGATGTAAATTTAACCTCCAGGTACCACAGAAGGTCCTCGCAATTGGCAGAGTCAGAAGCAGTCTTCAGATCCAGAAAAACGACCGATGTGGGAAGTTCAAAAGAGTGACACTGCTCAAGGACTTGTCTCAGAGTAAATATATATTCAATACATCATCGGGCGAGCTTTTTTTGATCACCAGTTGTTCCTCAGATGTACTGGGTTTAGCTACAGTAAGCGCTGTCATCTTACCTGGAGTCCCCTACCGACGAGCACACTTGGAGTCGAATTGACCACATTGCCATCAGCTACCCATCGCATGTCTGTGAATTCTATTGCCAGGTTGATTCGGACTAGTTTCTTATGAGCATACTTTCAATACAATACCCTGTAAACTCAAGAAACGATCTCCTCTTTTAGCCATAGAGAGGCTTATTCAGCCATAAGCTATGGAAACATACCAGGGCCTATTATGCGACGCATTAGAATAGGCCTATCCAGATGACACTGACCATAAGTGGTTGAGATAACCATGACAATCCATGTGACGCCCAGAACTCTGCTTGTGGTGTTTCTGGGCACGTATGCGAAAGCCACCGGATCTCGGAAGGTTCTATCCCCTGGGGCTCACAGTAAAATACGGCGAGACAATCAATTAGACGACGGCTCTGGCAAAGCTTGTACGAAGAAAGAGAGGTGAGCAGGGACCAGAAAGTTCAATTGAGGCCAGTGCAGCCCGAATTTGAGTGTTTTTTCTGCAGATCCCAACTCAAGGACTGACCGTTTTGCCCGCTCTGCATCACACTTAGCTGCAGCTTAAGTACGCCCGAGTTCAGTCACAACCAACAACACTTCGAAGTCTGTTTTCTAACCGCAGAAGTCTGTCTACTTAGCCACCTTTAATGTGCGCACACTGAAGCAAGCAGGTCAACAGGTGGCTTTTGCTCGTACGCTGGATTCCCTCTGTATTGATGTATATTGTCTGTCAGAAACAAGGACTAAGGACGCAAGTACTGCGATAGAACTGACTACCCCCTCGCTCTCTTCCAGGTTCCGGCTGCGCAACTCTGGTGATGCAGAGGCCGCTGCAGCTGGATATGCTGGGGTGGGTATTGTATTGAGCGAACGAGCAGAAGCGTCTCTGCTTGATTGGATACCCGTTAACAGTCGCCTCTGTGCGGTTCGTTTGGCAGCATCAGTGAGAAGAAGTGGGGTCCAACGCACCTTGTCTATACTGTCTGCTTACGCACCAACTGACTGTGGTGCCAAGGACAGTTTCTATAACGCCCTAGTTGTTCTTTTACAACAGGCTAACAGCTCAGATATCATTGTGGTTGCTGGTGATGTGAACGCCCCGGTAGGTCGAATAAGCGCTGCTGAGGCCCGATTGGGTGGTCGTCCTGGTTTGGACACGAGACGCACGGACAACGGAGATCGCTTACTTCAGATGTGTGCCGATCACAGACTGTTCCTGTGCACTACGAATTTCCGGAACAGTAGAAATCGCTTGACAACGTGGTGCCCACCAACGAACCAGCGCCGAATCCAAATCGACCACATCGCCGTGGCGAGGGTCAATCACCGCCTGCCACTCATTCTGGAGCTCCAGCGAGGACTTCGACCATGCAATTTTACGCTGCTGCTTTTCATTGCGCTTTTTAAGTGTACGCAAAACGCGAACACTTCATCTAGCCATTGAAAAGCTAGTGAACCCAGAAGTCAGAAATACTATCAGAACCAGCTCACCGAATCGAGAATCAAGCAAGGTTTCGACCGGGTAGAGGAGGCGTTGATCACATATTCACACTCTGTCAGGTGTTAGAGCAACGCCACATATACAGATGACCCATAATCTTGGTATACGTTGACTTCAAGAGTGCGTTTGATTCTATCGATCGACCGGTGCTGTCAACTACACTTGCTCAACAGGGTATGCCCCAGAAGTTTGTAAACACAATCCGATCCCTATATTCCCATACTTTTGGGCGAATGAGTGTATGGTGAGCTCTACAAAAAGTGGTGTCAGACAAGCATGTCCACTCTCTCCATTCTTGTTCAACTTCGCCAGTGACGAAATAGAGGCGAACAATAGACGGTCTCCAAAACCCCAGTGTTCAAATCGTTGCTGGTGAGAGTCTTGTTGATTTGGAGTATGCCGATGACGTTGCCCTCATCTTTGAAGACCAAAGCGAAGCACGAGTCCTTTTGGCATTCGCCTTGCACATTCAAAGTGCAAAGTCGCTTCAGAACGTGCAGTCTGCGAACATATCCCCTACAATTCAAGGAGAATCACCGGAGATTGTGGAAAACTTGACACACCACGGGAGTTGTGTTAGCTTTGACGGAAGTGTGTCTGATGAAGTCAGTGCAAGAATCTCAAAGGCTC